ATTAAGATGGTTTTTAAATATTTTATATATGTTCCACAAGATCTTTTATATTATTTTTCTTAAAAAAATAGAAGAAACTTTTCTGTGACACTGCAGCTAACAGGGACGATACATCTAAGTAGGGCAAACCCAGAAGATCATGATTTTGGTAGGGTTTTGTTGTTGTTAGGGTGCTTAAAAAAAAAACCAAAAAACTTTATTGTTCCTGTGCCTTAGGAAAAAAATGTGTTTTGGTTGATAGCAAGCTTAAACCAGTGGGGCATTTCTTCCAGATAGCCTGAAATAGGTAACTATTTCCATGCAAGCATTCCCTCCTGCCCTGTTTCTGATTTAGGTAGGGGCTGCAAACAAGGTAAAAATTGTGGGTATGGAGAGAGCAGTTCATACAAAGCCAGTGGAAACAGAGTGTTCAGCATGCTGCATAATGAAGGGGTTTCTGATTTCCACTTTCGTAAGTCATCTCAAGATTTAGACATTTGATAAGGATGATTTAGGTCTTCCAGAGCATAATCAAAGATACAGAGATAACTGTGGAATTGCAAAGCTGCAGCAGCTGAGGAATGCTGTCAGATTACTGATTGAGGGCAAACCAGGTCGAAAAATTAGGAAAACAAAAGACTTTGAAAGGGAAATTGTGCCAAAGGCAGCCTATTTTGTAGGAAGAGCATAAAGAATAAGTGGAAGAAACAGAAGCACCTTTAAGAGCAAATAAGAATAATTTTTAATGGTCGGGGAAGGTTGGGAAAAGCAAATGAATTTTTTCCTTGCTGGTCTTCAGTAAGTATGTCGACAGATGCCTGGAACCAACATAAATTTCCCTAGGGAAGAAAAACTACTGGAAAAAAAAAAAAAAAAGATTGGTTTATAGCAGGTGATCCAAAAATGAGTGTAGTTGATGTGAAACACAAGTCTACAATCAGATGGGACCTGCAGACTTAATATTAGCATGGAGTGGCTGTATGAAGCAGTCATCTGGAAAGCTGTGCTATAGCTGAAGAGTAGAGGTTTGTTTTGATGTATCTAACTAGCTTGGAAATAAAACCCAAATAGAAAAACATGGAGTTTTAAAGTTAGGATCTTTACAGTAATTCAATAGATGAAAAAACTGAGGCTTGACAAAGAAGATAAGCAATTTGCCCAGCTAATGGCAGATCTGGGACCGGGCAGAACTCAAGAGTGCTATGTATTACTCATTTCATCTTGAAGTTTCGTTATATATTTGCTCTGTGAGGTTTCTCAGGTTCAGCATTAAACACGGTCTTTATCTCAGAGAATGAAAAGTGAATTGTGAATTTGGATAAAGGAAGATCCTATTAGGAACAAAACTGCCCGGGGTAAAGGTAGAGGGCAAAGTAAAACCCACTGGGATTTGTATAAGAATTCATTTAATGTGGAGAATTCTGCAGAAGAGGCAGAACTATAATTGGGAAGACAGGAAAGAAGAAACTAGGAATAGTATCTTCATTATTGTTATCAAATGATTATGTGGCATTTTGTCTTCAAAACCTTTTGCAAACTTTAATTAAGTGTCAAATGCAGTTAAAATCTAAATTGCAGGCACAGTCTGGAAACGTAGGGTGCTGAAGTTTGGTGAGAGACGGAGGAAATATATTAGAATTCTCTTATTCTGAAACATCATTGAAATAAGTTCTATTCTGAAGCAATCCTCTTCCTTGTACGTTAAAAAACAAAAGCCTTGTTACAATAAGCCTTTCTACCCCAGCTGTTCATTTTCCATAGTTATAGATGAAGAAGTAGAGAAAATATGATAAATATAGTTATTGCATGTAAGGATACAGGAATGGAACATTTAGCATTTTGAAGTTCACTTTAAATGCAACACCAGAAAATGAATACATTTCCTACCTAAATTTTACAATGAATTCCTTTTTCCTCCTTGAGACTTCCATGACTATCTGTTATGTAAGAACACATTTTGACTTTTTAAAAGCCTTATAATGCTTGCAGTGTTTTTATTCTTTTTTAATGTAAATCCCAACATCAAACTTAAAATATAGCAGGAAAGAAGCAAAAAAAGCATTCATATATCCCACACCTAAGCCTAAATGAGACCGACAAAGCAGAAGCATTATAGGAGACATCTTTTACATTTAAATATTTTTTATTCACTCATGCAGAAACAAAATAGTCAACTTCTGCCTCTTAAAGACTGTGTGTTACAGTATTCTTGCTTCTAGGGCCCTTTTCCCGTAGCACCTGCGTTTTCTGGAGCAGTTCATCAATGAAAGAAATGACACTTTTATTCCTGTAATGAGGCGCTATTAACTGGAGGTCTTTTGTAAGGGTGTAATTTCAAACTTCATTACAGACTAAGACAGCCACACCACCATTACTCAGGAAAATGTGCTTCTGTTGTGACTCTTCAGTGAGTCTTTCATTTTTAATGTACCTTGTTAGAATATTTATGAAACCGTATCACCAGTAGAGGGCATTGTCTTTGAAACATGTGGGTCACGAGGATGGATATTAACTGACAGGTTTCACTGCCTTCGCATTAGACTTTTAGAAAAACGTTAAAGGTACATGTCACAGTCTGAAATTCTTTCTGATGTAGCCCTTATTACGAGTAAGGTACAAGAACTCTGTGTTCTCGTGCCTCAGGAGTTTTAATATTTTACCATCAAGATAAAGTCTGAGTATGAAGGTAACCAGCCAAATTCCACAATAGAGAATGTATACTAACTGTGCTTCCTTTTAAACTTCTGCCCTCTGGGAAAAATGTGTTTGCCTAAGTCACTCCTCCACCTTGCCCTTAGGCTTGACTTCTAAAAAATATTTAAAGATGCTGACTTCCTAATTAAAAATTGACATTGTGAAATTTAGTCTTTCCCATGAACTATGCAGCGATTTAGCTCAGAATGGAAGCTAAAGACTTCAGGGTTAGGAGTTGGGAGACAGGATTTTATGTCTATCCCTGGGCATGTGAGGTGTGGGTTCCTGGGGAGGGGAGATATCTCCTTGCTAACCCGATACCTTCCCATTGACTGTTTCCTCCCAACTTTGGATCCCTCAGTCCTGGGAACACTCAGGACTGTTCCCCTAGAAGGCTGTCATATGATACATAGGGTGGTTCGGAGATGTAGCTTCTCACTATAAAAATACATACACATACGCATGCACATGGCATTTGCAGATGGGAGTGTTCCTTTCAAAGAATGGTTAATAATTATGACCTCAAGTAGTATACCTTCTCATATTTTTTCTTCAGATTTTTCTAATATTAAGATCCATAGCTTTGTATGTTACATTTTAACTTCCTCTGTACATGCCATGAGAGAGAGAACTATGTTCTTGATTCTGTTTAATTTACCATGACTATATCCTATTAATATTCAAATAGGCCATTAGAAATGAAAGCTTTAGCAAAGGAATATATTCAGTTCAAAGACTTGTGTGTTACAGATAACTTTTTACTTAACACAGTTCCTCCTTAATCTAGAGAAACTTAAATAATTTCTTCCTCATAAGGTACTGCTCTTTTTAACTTGAATTTGCCTTACATTGTCTCTAAGTTATATGTGAAATGACTATTTGTCACCCTTCTACTGATTGGCATTTATAAGCAAATCCAGATACCCACAGTCTGTACTATGTGTTGTAACAGGGCCACCAAAAGATATCTGTTCAATGAGAGAAATGACTCCAAACTTGCCTGTTGTTTTCATTTTTGTTTTGAAGCCGT